GGTGGGGGGGCAATCATGTGACGGGGGAGGCTGTGTCACGTGGCCGCCCCGCGGCGGGTCCCGCCATGTCGGTGCCTTGCGGCGGGTTCCGGGCCCAGCGGGCGCCTCTCGGCTCCGCGGTGCCGGGCGGGGGGTGCCCCGGGGAGTGCCCCTGAGGGTCGTGGCTGCCCCGGAGAGCTGGGTCCCAGCCCGCAGCAGCGCCCGCAGCAGCCAGATCTCTGGGCCCCGGCGGCTGCGGCCTGGCTGGGCGCGGCGGGCCCGTCTTCCCGGGGGGGGGCTGGGGTGGCCTTACCTCACAGGGAGCGGCTGGGGCTGCAGCCGTCCGGCCCTGGGGGACAGGGGGCAGTGAGGGGATCCTGGCTGCTGGCCACCTTACCAAAACGTGTCCTTGAAACGTTATTAGTAACTAGTGCTGAAAGCACCTGCGTGTGGCCTCCCGGGTAATGGGGGTTTTCTATCCTTGAATCCGTCAAGCATGAGTTAATGAAATAACTTCTAATCAAGGGAGGCAAGTATTGAATCGTTCTCAAAGAGGCACATCCTGGAACATACGAGCATAAGGACCTTGAAGATGGTACTAATCTACCTATTTTGAGACATTTAACCAACTTGGCAGGGAAATTAAAATTCTTACTGTCCTAAATCAAACTGTCTTTGTTATAATACTAGAATTCATGCCCAAAGGTCAGGAAGACCTTTCCCTTGCACATGTGTGGTAGCTATAAAGTGATTGTGTAATCGTTTGTAAATAACTACAGGTAGGTGGTAACTAATATTATAATGGTGTTGTGAAATGTGTGTAAAAGTCACGCGGAGAGTCCCGATAGGTGTGCTGGGTTTGTGGGAAACCACCGAGCACTCAGCCTTGCGCAACTCTGAAATAAATAATCCCTGTCTCATGCTGGCCTGTGAGGTTGGGCACTGCACACCCTGCAACAGACACAACTTCTCAGACGACAGCCAGAGCATGGCCTTCGAGAGGCTGCTCCACGCCAGTGTGGAGTGGGGTCGTGAACCAAGGAGGGTGGTGGAGGTGCACCTTCATTGCAGCCTTACCAACAGGACCGGAGGGGTTGAGGTGGGAAGGGGCCCCTGGAGGTTGTCTGCTCCAACCCCCTGCTCCAGCACGTCTACCAAGAGCCAGTTGGCTGGGGCTGTGGTCAGACAGCTTTTGAGCATTTCAAATATTCATGGCTCTGCCCTGGCCAGACATCTGTCTCCTGTCCACTGTGGGCTTTAAGCACTGGCAAAAGCTAATTGAGTAAGGTCTTGAGCGTGCAAGTGCATTAAGCAGGGCTTGGCACATAAACTCGCTTAGCACTTGCTAAGTAATCCATTCACAGAATCACAGAATGATATGTGGTTGGAAGGGACCTCTGGAGATCATGTAGTCCAGTGCCCCTGCCAAAGCAGGTCCACCCAGAAGGGTTGCACAGGAATGTGTCCAGGCTTTGAATGTCTCCAGAGATGGAGACTCCACCACCTCTCTCAGCAGCCTGTTCCAGTGCTTTGCCACCCTCAAAGTGAAGAAGTTCCTCCTCATGTTTAGTTGGAACTTCTTATGTTCAAGTTTGTGCCCGTTTTCTCTTGTCCTGTCACTGGGCACCACTGAAAAAAGACCAGCCCCATCCTCTTGACACCCACCCGTCATGTATTTATAGGTGTTGATCAGATCCCCCCCTCAGCCTTCTCCCGAGTAAAAAGACCCAAATCCCCCAGCCTTTCCTCGTAAGAGAGATGTTCTAGCCACTTAATCATCTTTGTAGCCCTTTGCTGTACCCTCTGCAGCAGTTCCCTGTCCTTCTTGAACTGGGGAGCCCAGAACTGGACACTACTCCAGATGGGGCCTCACCAGGGCAGAGTAGAGGGGACGATGAGCTCTCTCGATCTGCTGGTCACAGTCTTCCTGATGCACCCCAGGATGCCATTGGTCTTGGATACAAGGGCACATTGCTGGCTCATGGTCATCCTGTTGTCCTCCAGGACTCCCAGCTCTTTTTCCTCAGAGCTGCTCACCAGCAGCTGGACTGGTGCATGGGCTTATTCCTCCCCAGGTGCAGCACCCTACACTTGCCCTTGTTGAATTTCATCAGGTTTCTCATTGCCCAACTCTCCATTCCTAGTCTTTCTAACAGGTGAATTTCCTTTTCACCTCTTCCTTCACATCAGCCTTTTATCCTCTGTCAACCGAGGAAATCGCTTCTTTAGGAGACCCAAACGGAGTTGGAGGAGAGCCATGCTGGTTGAGGTGAACTGTAATAAAAGCCTTGTGGTGCTGATGGCACCTTGGGCCCTAAACCTGGTCTGAGGGAAATCATTGAATCTCTGACACACATGCTTTGCCCTGGGACACATCAGCTTTGTCATGAGAGGACAAGAGGCCTCTCTAGCAAAGCTGGTGTTAGGAAAAGTGCTGGATTTGTTCGTTTTTTTTAGAAAAATAATATCAATCTGAATGTTTCTTTAATGTGATGCTGACAAAGCAGCTGAGATGGGATTTATTTGAGTGAAAACCTGCAATTCGGCAGGAGTTTCTGGACATAGTGTTAACTCCCTGCTCATAAGGAAAGGTGAAATTGACCTCAGTTGTGGTGCTTGTTCTCAAGTGCTTGAAGAGCCTGAGCAGCCCTTGTGCCCTGGGAAAGCAGGGCTGGGGAACGTCTCATCGCAACATCCCACTCTGCTCCCGGCAACTTCCACCTCTTCCCCTCGTGGAGCCATTTCCCTGCGGTTCCCCAGCCCGGCCGCAGGCCCCTCCCAAAATCCCGCCTGGGTCTTGCCACTTCTCCCACCCGCAACACAACCAGACAAGCCACACAGTCAGGTTTTTAAAACGGGGCCTTTCTCCATTTTATTTTGCCCAATAAAAATCCTTCACAGTCAGGTAGAGATAGGAGAGTGAGAGATACGTATACATATAGATCTTCATATATATTTATATATATACATACCTCTGTACAGATATATATATATATTCACCGTAGAAAATCGCAAAGGCAGTAGCTCTTCACATCTTGATAACCCAATGGAAACATACAACAGACTAGCAGTAGTTTGGGAATTGTGTTATAGTTTTAACAAGAATTTCCGAAATGGATACACCTTTGTTGTACAAAAATCCCAGAACGCTGCGTTTTACCTCTTTCTTATTCAACCTCTTGTGTTTAAAAACACTGACCAGAGGCAAAGTCAAGACAACGGTGTTTGGAAGTGACCAGTGGATAGGAGAGACACCCAACCTTACGGAGTTCTTTTTTAAATAGTTTATTTTTTAAGTATATATATATATATATAATTTTTTTCTTTTCTCATTAAACGCAGTTCGGGGAACCAGCAACAGTCAACGCAGAAACAAAACAGTAACGCAGTCGAGTTCAGAACACTTCTGGTTTGAATTCACAGTAAGAGGAGAGAGAGACCGAGGCGTCAAGAAACAAACAAGAGGAAAGAAAGCACAAGGCTGGGACTGAATTTACAGTCAGGTAGGTCTCCAAAACATTGGACGAAGGATCTAATGCAGAGGTCCTACACACAGACACAGCCTGCAGCTCACCCAGCGGTGGAGCAGCGGCGGGGAGCTCTGTCTGCTCCTCCGCGGGGCTTTTATTGCTGGTGAAATCAGACAGCAGGCTTGCTCGGGAGTCCCAGCTGGCCCAACCTGACGTTCTCCCATAGGGGAGCTGGGTTTTGAGGGGACACCTATTGATCTGTTGGAGAACAGACGCAGAAGACAGGCAACTAAGCAACGTGCATCGATTCAGGATGAGGAAACCCTCACAAGCGTACTGCCCGGTGCAAGGCAAAGACCAAGAGGGGTTCCTCTTGGCTCACAGCGTTTACCAGGTCCGAGTGAGTGCAAACGAAGACACCTTGGAGGAGCTCCAGCCCTGGGCTGGGCTCTGCGGGGACACCGCTGCGTGGAAAGGGACTGCATAGACACATTGGCCGGTTGTGCAGCATTTTTTTGCACCGGTGGTGGAACATTTCTGCACCGGTGGTGGAGCCCTGCCTGCGCATGTTTTGCTCCCTTCGGCCGCTGAAAGGGAACCCACGTGCAACCCATGGGGGAAAGGGGACCTTCTGCTCTGAGAGGGCTCCTAGGACAGCCTGGGTTTCAGGAACAGCAGAGCCAGCGCCATGGTCTCCCACTGGTGTTTGGCTGTCACTGAACATGACTCTGTGATCTCAGATGCCCCAGGGGACCCAGTGGCTCCCATGTGGGTGAGCTAATGGAGAAGACCTGCTGCCAGACCCAGTAACAGTCATGGGATGGGCACCAGAGGGGGGATGGACCACACCTCCTGGGCACCCAGACTGGTGGCCTGCTGGATATGGGCAGCTTCAGGCTCTCTGGGTGAATGGGAATCACCAAGCTTAAACTGTTGGTGATTATTTGGAGCCAGACTGGGCCTCACATCCCTTTCTGAAGGAGGAGACCCCAGGGCTGGAGCTATGAAGGTATTCAAGGGAACATTGGCTTGCCTGCAGGTATCAGAGTTGGGAGTAGTCCCTTTTAAATCTCTCTAGAAAAACCTATTGCTTTGAGACAGAAAGCAAAGACTTTCTGCCTGAGAAAACAGATCTGTAAAAGCCATGAAAACACAACCCTGTGTGTTAGAGGTTGTCCCAGGCTCCAGACCTGACACAATCCCCTTCATTGGGAGAACCAGGGAGGAGGCTTATCCTGGAAATGCAGAGGCTCATTTCTGGTGTTTCTGGCAGTTCCATGCTGGCACTGCCAGCATGGAACATCCTACTGGGAAGCCAACATCTGTAAACAACTGAATGTGATCCCAACCTCTTAATACACTGGCAACCAGTTGTCATGGGTACTGTGTGCCTGAAGAGACCAGGGATACTCATACACCCCTCACGCCTCTGTCTTTCCAGTGGGTGGAAGGACCAGGGAAGCCCAGGGAAGCTGGCTGGGTGTGCTCTTGCAATGGTGTGAAGCCCCATGCAGTCATCTCAAGTGATTGCAAGCCATGGGGTTGTCCTTCACCTAGAAGCAAGATTGCTCTTGGAGGTAAAGCAGGGCTGATCTAGCTGACCTGGGAATGACAGAGAGAAGAGGTGGGGACCAGTAGACTAGAAATCCCCTCTGAGGGCAAGTTGGGACACATCACTCTTAGTCGGGGCTTTGGGCATCAGCTCTGACTTGGTAAGACGTATCTGTGAGAGTACTGGGAGAGGCACTGACTGCTCCTGGGACAATGAGGGTGGTAATGATCTAAAAGAAAGCAGGGGAGTCTGGAGAGCTTGGGCAGAAGAGAAGCAGGACACAGGTAACCTGATGAGCAGATCTTTAGCAAGGGGTCTTGATGAAAAGTAACTCTAGAAAGTAACTTTCAAGGTTTAGCTGAAGGGTTGGGTTAGAATAATGGCAAGTTGGACCTGCTGCCATTTGGGCAGAGGCGAGGGCTGTCACTGCACATCAGCAGGATTTCATGGTCTTGGTAGGAACAGAGCAGAGAAGGCTTAGCACAGCTGGGGAATGGAGGAGTGGTGAAGGGGTATTATGTGCTCAAGGCCCAGACCCACCCAAGCACCCATCGGGGAGTACAGATCTGCCACTGGTCCGTGCCCCACTTGCCAAGGTTGGAACCAGGTTCAAGAGCCTTCATGGAGCTAAGGTGGGCAGATATGCCTTCAGCACCCCACACAGAAAAAGCAAAGACCATTGTGTCTTCACCTCAGAAGATGGTTTCCTGGTAAGGAGGGTGCTGAGGATGCCTTGTGGTGAGCTGGGGAGAAGACAGCAAAGGGGCAGCCAGTAGGACCACCAGGTCTCAGGATACACATTTTTCCTGACCAATTCACGCTGACTGTAGCAACGTCTGCTGCTAAAGCGTAGGAGACTTGTGGCCCTGAAGACAGGTGTAATGGCTTGACATGCATCCCCTCTTCTCCCCAAGGAAAAATGGGAGCTGCATCCATCCATTCTGCCCCCTGGGAACAGGCCCTGGTTCACACTCTCCCTGGGCAATGCATGGAGCTAATTGGCATGGCCATGGGGGATACTGATATAACCAACTGGGGACAATCAGCTCAACTCCTTTCTACCCTGTCCTATCTAGCACAGGAAAGGCCTCTCATGACCTTGCAAACATTCCCAGGTGGGACACCTAGGAATCCAAGCCCTCTCCTGTCCCCTGCCAGCTCTTGTTCCCCCTTTCCAGTCCACACCGGCTTCATCTCTCCCCAGGAAAGCTGGGAGGCAGCTCCAAGCATGCAGCCCTCTGGAGATCTTTGGTCATGTTGCTTGTGAGCTCACTGTCTTGAGCAAGCTATAAAGTGACACTTCGAGGGGCAGGAGTGCGGTGGGTTGTTCCTTTCCATGGGCAGAGTGCATGGGCAGCAGGGCTGAGGGGGGACACTGCTGAGAACCACCAGCCTTAACCAGGGGACAATTGCAAATCCTGGCTCAGGATGACAGCAAGCATTAAAGCAGGACAGAGTGACAGCAGGCTACTCTGTAAGAGCCCGTTCCAAGCTAATTGCCTTCCTGGGAGGTCCTGACACCACCACCACCCCTCCTTTCATCCCCCCATTTCCACTGCAGCCAGCAAAAGCTCAGGGAGTGCTGAGCATTCTCCACGTAGCCCTCAGTGCTTGAATGCAGCATCGGCTGCTATGATCGATCCCGCTTACCGATATAGAAGCCACAGAGCTTTCTTGTCTCTTCATTTAATCATTGTATATACAGAGCTGGGCTGTTATTTACATCCAAGTACACTTGTCTCCGTATAACGTAGCAGCATAGGAGCAACAATTAGATTCCTATTTTGAGTGCAGAAGCCCGGAGGTGATCTCCCTCCGGCGTGACGCCAGCGACAGCAAGACAGTGCAGCCGGCTGCCACGAGACAGTGGCAGAAGCTAAGTGGGACTGTGTGAAGCACAACAACGCACCATGGTTGTGGTGTTCACACCCCGGGGCGAGACAGGAGTGCTGACAGCGTGAGGGGAACTAGCCCAGCCAGGGCAGCATCTTACAGCAACAGCTACCAACCTTGAAATGATGTTGGAGCAAAGCAACCCAACTCACAGCAAGTGGCAAGAGGGACTGCTTAGACCTTCCCTGGCACCAGGATAGCCTGCTTAGCCCAAATCATCAATGATGGAAATTGCTGGAGCTGATCAGTGTCCTCTGTTTGCTCACGTAATGACAATATGGACATGCCTGGAGCATGACTCTGTTGCCTGAACATGGGTGATGTGCCACTAGAGATGCTCCAGGTCTTCCCGCTACTGGCCTGGCTCTCCCATAGGTCTTGGATCATGTTTGCCAGCCCCATGTATCAGGTATCCCAGAGCATCTCTAAGGTCCCTGGACCCCATGTGTGGGCAACTGACCTGAGACCCTTGCCACCACAGCTTTTGCTGTTGGCCAATGGCAAATTATAGGTGATGTTGTTTCAGTGGAGAGACTAACCACATGCAAGATTTTGAGGGCAGTACTTGGAGAATTACATGTGAGCCAGTATGTCACGCTGAATCCCATCAGCTTGAGAGCTGGCTGAGCAGAGGAGGAGACAGCTGGGTTATAGTCAAACCCAAGTTGTGAGGTGAGTTTCATGGGACAGAAATATTTTATCAGCACTGCCTGAGCCTCCAAGACATAAGATGTCAGCTTCCTTGGCCCTTCCCAGGATATGTCATCAAAACGACAGTCTGGCACCCCTTGGCTATCTTGCTCCAAGGCTAAAACCCCAGGGCCTCAACACACACCAAGCTTGTGATGGGAAACTTCATCCAGTCAACAGGTAAAAGGGTTACGATCTGGAAAGAGCCAGATGAGCTCCCATTTGTGCCAATTCTGAGCACAAACAACAGGAACCCATGTGTCCCACCATCATTTTGCCCCATCCCTGCTAAGCAAAGGATAGTCACCTCCAAGAGAGGCTGGTTACCAGCATGTGGCCACACAGTGCTAGCACATGGGAGAGGACATGATGGGAAGCAGTGCATCCAGTTGTGGGGAGGATTCTTGAAGAGCAGGAATTCTTCATGGCAGTTTGACTGGGGCACTTGCCAAAACATCTGTATTTTATGTCACTGTAGGACAGGAGGGGTGGTTTCTGCAGGATCATTGAATGCTTGGGGGATGCTAGGTTCACCCCAGGAGACGGAAAACCATCATCAACAGCACAGCATCTTAATGGGTGTCTGCAAAGCTCTGTTATCTGGGGAATGGCCACAATCGAGGTTTCTCAGATCTGGATTGAAACTCTAGATCAAAATGATGCAGTGAACAAGACAGTGAAGGGAGCATACCTTTCCTCCTCCAAGGTGAAACATCTCTCCTTGCCACCCCTGCTCCATCCCAAGGAGCTCTGCAGTCCCGGATGGATGCACTGTGAGGCTATTGAGTCCCTGGGTAGCCCAGTACCCTCCAGCAGTCAGACAAACCCGTATGCCTCCAGGCTTCCCTGGGTCTATTAAGACACATTCATTTCTGGCACCAGTGCAGAAAAGATCTAGGAAAAAGCTGAGGGAGCAAACCTGGCTTGTTGGAGGGCTTGGCTGATTGCTGCTGACTGGATCCAGGCATGCGGGAAGCCCCTGCTTCTCCTGCCCGTGGATTAGCAAGGAGCTCTGTTGAGAAGGTATCCCAAAGGGTGACGTCGGTGTCCATTCCTCTTAAGTGTTAACGCAGTGCGGAACTGCAGTGTACACTTCCTCAACAGCAGATCCTTGAAACTCAGTCACTCTGGGTATTTTTGAGCCACCAACTGAATGCTGGTTTCTGCGATGGTTAGTGAGAAATCAACCTCAATGTCAGCAGGGCCAGAAGGAGCAGAGGTGGAAGTGCCCTTCCAGGTTATTGGACCCATCTTATGATGAGGGCACTTGCTGTTGGGCTTGCTTTTCATGTGGTTGCCTCAAAAAACCACACAACCATCTGAAACTAAGCCTCTTGCAATTTTCTATGCTTTGCCCTTTTGCCCAAGGACTGCAAAGCCCTTCACAAGCACAGATGTCTCACAACTGCTTTGGGAAGGAAGACAGCGTGGGTTTATCTGATGTGGAAAGAGAGGCACAGAAAGACGAGATTACATGAGACACCAAATCTCCAACCCTGACATTGCGGGATGTTTGACTCTGTCTCAAAGGCCCGGTGTATGAAATGCAGGAAGCTCTAGGATTTGCCCGGCCAAGTGTAAGTTTGTGCAGCACATGTGAGTATCTCCCTTGGCATGGCAAAGTCTGCTGCTGGGTGAGGCTGGCAGACAGCTGTACTCCTTCCTCGGTGGGGTGCACGGGCTGATATCCAAGAGCACTGGAGTGTCTGAAGGATTCATCGTGTGACTCCTCTCCACACCCTTCAGGGGTAAGACTTGACCTAGTCCCCCCTTTCTGTGCCTGGTCCTGGGAGGGGGGCTTAGCCTGAGCTGCTCTGATGTTTTCCAGGCTGATGGGTTGTGTCTTCCTCCAGCTCCAAAGGCACAGGCAGAAGTGGCAGGAAAAGCCAGGTGCATTCAACTAGGGTCTTGAAATACTCTGGTCTTATCACGCATCTCCATTTTCCACGGCTCCAGGAATTGCAGCCAGCCACCAACAAACAGTTTCTGCCCAGTAATACTGTCTGTTGACCTTGGCTGGAGGTTGGTGGGACTAACTAGAGTCTCCTCTCTCCTGCTTAGCTTCTTTACTCAGTCTGGAGCTCACCACAACAATGTTTGATCCCAACTTGAAGGTCAGACCTGGTGATGGAGAGGGGGTAGCTTTTGGCGAAGCAAACAGGGAAAGTGAGTAGCTTCAGGGCTTTTTGTCTGGAAGGTCTTCAACCCCTTAACACCCTGAGGTTCTTTGTTGGCATGCAGATGAAATGTGATCTGGCCAATCTCTCCCTGGAGTCACCTCACAGACATTCCAGTGCTTATCCTAGCTTTGTTCTTCTAGCTGCTCCCTAGAACAAAGAGCCAAAATTTCCACTTGCGTTGATCCTTTGGCCACTGCCCAGTCAGTGAAAACTCCACTTTGCAAAATTTTTTACCTTTTGCTATGGACCACAGTAAAAAAGTGTCCATGAAAGGGAAAGCCAAACCCACCTTTTAAAGCTGGATGCTGTTTTTTGATGTCTGCGCCATTCTCGGTGACTGTGCATACAGGGTGTGGTTATTATTCTGCCAGGGCATAAGCACTTGCAGGATCTTAAGCATTTTCCCTTCTTGCGACTGCTTCTGTGCTCAGAGATAGTTGCTGAGTATTTTCTTAAGCTAGGCCTGTGTTATCGCTGTCCCTGGAATGTGTGATGCCACGTGGGATCGCTCTGGGTGCTGTTTGAAATGGCTGTACTGAAGGCTAATGCTTGCCCCGTTGCAGTCTAGTGGTAATGCTGATATGTGCTCACTGCAGCTCCTGAGTGAGGCTCGGGTGCCACTTCTTAAGTAGACCCTGGACCAAAAGAGTGCACTGAAGCGTCATTCATTTGGGAATGGGGCAGCACAGTTACCCATTGTTGGGGCAAATTGCTAAAGCTTCAGTTTGCATAAACGTCCCGCAGACTTGGAGGCTTCCCCAAACCTTGATTCCATTGGAGTTTGGGAAGTAAAAGGGCCCTCAGGAAGGGCAACTAGCTTGGATTTCCAGGTTTTTTTCTTGCTGTAGCCAGCTTGAGTATATGCTAAGTATAGGGGGATCAAGGCAGAGGTGGGAGGGCATTTCTGCTCCCAGGGCTGGTCATAACCCAGGAGAGAAGTGGAACTGCAGGAGGAAACCACAATGAATTGAAAACACAGCATATGTCAAGCTCTGCTGAGCTTCCAAAGAGGCTTCTGCTGGGGAATCATTCCATGTTGGCTTATGTTACCAGGACAGGCTCATCCTGCTCCTCAAGGATGTCCTAACCTCTTGCAACCATGGCAGACATGGGCTGGCAAGAAGGAGTCATCTGGTAGAGATATGTCTGGTTTCACTGAAATCAGTGGCCAAACTTGCACTGACTTCACTAAGACCACCGTCTAGACAGGATACTTGATGCAGAACAGTGAGTTTGCTCATGATCCCGAGAGATTTTCTCCATAGCCAATGTGGCTAAAAATGCTCTGAAAAAAAAACACCTGCCACTTTGAACTGTTTTGCTGCACTCAAATACTTGGAAAACCAAAGAAAACAAATAGAGCCCTCCAAAACAACCAACCGAAAAGGGGTGAATTGTAGGAGAGGGGATGGCAGCCTCTAGCGAAGTAACAGTCACGGCAGATTACAAAAGAGCCAATTGACCCTCACCAGCTTGACTAGGAAAAAACCCAAAAGAGATGTCGCATTATTGATAGAAAAACAACGCACATCCACAGTTATTTTACCTACAGAGCACAGAAGTATAGAGTAAGGGTGACAGAGCTTGGTGCGAGTGGACTCACACTGCTCCTACGGTAGCGTATTATCCTTCGGAAGATCACTGGCTTGAGTAGGTAGTACATGCACAGCAATAAAAAACTTAAGTTGTATTGTCTTGGTCCCACCTCAGATCTCGGTGGACTCTATTCGCTCGAGTCTGGAGGGAGTCCACTGTTTTTTCTCCTCGGTGTGTGGGGGGCTGGTGGCCTTTGTGTTCATCTCGTTCACCTTGTGCTCCAGGAGCTGATTCTTCTGGTACATCTCCACGTAGTTCAGTTGCAGCTGCTTCTGGTACTTGATGACTTTCTCCTTTTCTTCTTGCCATGTGCGCCGCTCCTCCTCAAAGTCCATCACTTGCTGCTCCCGCTGCTGCCGTTCCAGCTTCAGCTCCGTCTGGAGCCGCTCCACCTCCTTTCGCAGTGTGTTGACGCTGTCCTCACTCTGCCGCTGCATCTTGGCTTCGTCACTCTCACAGGCCAGTGGGTCCCGCAGCTTCTCACCAAGGTCCCCACCAAAAGGCCCTGGAGGTCCCATGCTGGCAAGTGTCCGCTTCAGGCCGGAGACCTCCAGCTCACAGTGGTTAAGTTTTTCCCTCAGCACCTGGACCTCGCTCATTTTCCGCTGCAGCTCACTCTCACAGATCTCCAAGTTGACGCTCTTGGAGCTGTAGGAGTCCTTCAGGGTGAGAATCTGCTCCTCCTTCTCCCGTAGGAAGTTCTTACCTTCCTTGAGCTGTGTCCGCAGTCCCACAATCTCGTTCAACTTCTGGGAGACATCTGCTTGGGAGTCCTTCAGCTGTTGCTTGAGCAGGGAGATCTCACCTGCCTTCTGGCACACCTGTGAGGAGAACATCCATGAGGCAGGAGGAAGGCAGTGAGGAATCACCACTGCTGCTTGTCCCCTGCACTGCCCATGAAATGTCTTCATGGCCTCCCATTGGCAGGAGGCTCAGGTAATGGAGGGAACAGCCAGCAACATTGCTCAAGGACTGAGCTCCAGCCTTCACCAGGACCCAGACCATGCCAAAGACTGTCCCCACATTTGTGGGGGAGATTTGGTGTTTATTCCTGGCTCTTAGGGACCTGATGCTGTTCCCAGCTGGAGCTGACCAAACAGCTAAGCTAAGTTCACCAGTAGTGAACAGACACTGCTTCCCTCCCTGCATTCATCTTACTTACCAAACCACAAGCCTGTCATGTTGACCCCAAACCCTCTGCTCTCAGAAGGAGTTTTCCCACTGCCCTCAATGGAGTCTGGACCTTGAACAAGCCTGAGACAGAAATATCTCAGACCCAGAGACTGCCCAGGCTCTCCCTGAGCACTGGGAGTGTAGGACAGGATGCAGAGACAGTAGAGGCAGAGAAATACATGCTCAAGAATGGCTTGGATAGGAGGAGAACATCCATGAGGCAGGAGGAAGGCAGTGAGGAATCACCGCTGCTGCTTGTCCCCTGCACTGCCCATGAAATGTCTTCATGGCCTCCCATTGGCAGGAGGCTCAGGTAATGGAGGGAACAGCCAGCAACATTGCTCAAGGACTGAGCTCCAGCCTTCACCAGGACCCAGACCATGCCAAAGACATAGAGCTTGTCCCCACATTTGTGGGGGAGATTTGGTGTTTATTCCTGGCTCTTAGGGACCTGATGCTGTTCCCAGCTGGAGCTGACCAAACAGCTAAGCTAAGTTCACCAGTAGTGAACAGACACTGCTTCCCTCCCTGCATTCATCTTACTTACCAAACCACAAGCCTGTCATGTTGACCCCAAACCCTCTGCTCTCAGAAGGAGTTTTCCCACTGCCCTCAATGGAGTCTGGACCTTGAACAAGCCTGAGACAGAAATATCTCAGACCCAGAGACTGCCCAGGCTCTCCCTGAGCACTGGGAGTGTAGGACAGGATGCAGAGACAGTAGAGGCAGAGAAATACATGCTCAAGAATGGCTTGGATAGGAATCAATTTACAGATTAAAATATTTAAACTTAGGCCTCTATTTGGGTGCTGTGGAGATCTAGGAAATACAGTCCATGGAGCCTGGAGAACAAGTCAAGATGTCAACAAATGTAGGTGTCTACAAATTTTGGGTATCTTGATGCACAAACTGAATCCCTGTCTTTACGTCGATATCACTGGGTTAGCTCTTTCAGACAGAACTATAGCAGTGAACCAAATAATCGAAAGCCCATATGCAGTTTTACTGGTGCAAAATCAGGGAACTTTCCAGACCTTACTTGTTGGAAGAAACAAAAGACCTGGTCAGAGCAGCTGGTCAAAGGAGGCATCGTGAGGGACGATGCAGCCTGCTTGTTCTGGGATACAACGTGCAGAGATTTTACAGCAAGCATCTAATGAGCTCTGCTGAACATCTGCAAATAGCACATTTCAGAGTCTAATTAATCCCAGCTTCATTGACTTTTCATCAGGATTAGCAGAATAGGGTCTTCTTGATTCTAGAGCTAAATGTTGCCTCTGTGCTCTTAATATATTTAAAGTTTCTAGCCAGTCCATGAAAGGATTAAAATTCTTCACATGATCAAGCTGAAAAAAAAATGTTAGCACTGGCTATACAAACAGACTTTGATAAACTGTTCTAAAAATAGAAACAGTAGAAAAAAATATGTAAGACTCAAAAGGAGAACTAGAAGGAGGAATTTGCCTTTCAGCCTTTTAAGAGAGATAAACTTATTAGTAACTGAAAACAGTGTGTTACAATGGAAAGCATGAGGTAGACTTGGCTATCGGTATAATTCTTAGCTCACTTGCTTTATATCTTAAATAAAAGAAAATCAAATATTTGAAAAGCAGTTTCAAGGTTTGGCCAAACACAAATGTTAGAAGAATTTAATTAAAATAGACTTAAACCTATTTTTGGTGGGCACAAATACCTGTACAGAAAGACCTGTATTCATTGAAACTGCATTCAAATGTCACATGTTGGAGTGACCTGACTGGGACACCAAATTATTAACCAGCATAGGAGGTATGCACAAAAATATTGCACTCATTTTAGTTTTATTTAAAACTATAGGCTTGGGACTCAGATAAATGAAGAGGTAACTGAAGTGTCATCTGTTACTTGGAGGCTACCAACCTACAGCCATTGTCTGTAGGGTCCACTTAGGGCACATGGGATATGTTTTGGGGTATCAGACCCCTCAATGAGAACCTCACTCAAGGTCTGTTACAACAAAGCTCTTACCTCCCACTTGGTCTCTTCAATCTTTGGGAGAAACTCAGCCTGTTCCTTCTTGAAAGCTACAAATTTCTTCTCCAGCTCCTCTCGTTGCTGGAGGAGTTGTCCCATATCATCTTGGAGTTTTTTTTTCTCTTGCTGGAGCTTGAAGATTTGGAGCTGCAAGGCTTGCTGAGCCCGCTGCGCCTTTTTGGACACCTGTTGCAATTTGTTGGCATAGTTTTGCCTCAGGTCCTCCATTTCCCTCTCCCAGATCTTCTGCTTCTCCTCGAACACTTGGAAGATGGCTGCCTCACTTTTGTCCAAGTTCCTTCGCATCTGGAGGACCTCCTGCTCCTTCTCCCACAGCCGGTCTTCCAGGTCTTGAATGATGTCGTCTGTTGAAGGCGAGTGGAAAGGCATCGTTTCATTGAGATGGTTCAGTCTGTTGAACGAAGAGGTGCTCTTGCTTGAAGACCGCCCGCTGTCTGAGGTAGATATCCCGTTGTATCCCACAATGTTCTTGTCCACGTAGGTTGTACCGATGCGGTTGATGTGGCTCGTGGAGGCACTCATTGGACCCACGTGCTGGCTGTAGCCTGTCCCATATGTGGGCAGGCTCGTTAACGAGTTACGGCCTGAATCCGAAAGACCCCCCACTTGGTTTGTAGTCCTGTTAAGGCTGCTCTTGTCGAGTCCACTTTTGGGTGCGGATGGGCTATTGCTGTTGGCATGGTTCAAGCTCTTTCTGTTCTCTGTCACCCCGTTGCTCTGTGGCGGGCAGAGGTTCTGCATGGAATGGAAGTTTTTAGGAACTACTGGTTTAAAGGCTGAGGGTCTAACTAAGGGCTCATTGCTCTGCAAAAGGAAAAAGGACCACGCATCAAACATAGCATAGCTTGGTAATAACACACAAAAGAGACACATCAGCACAGGCTGGGGCTGATGGAGCTAAGATGTCTTGGGCTAGCTCCATATTTCTCAGCCTTATTACACCCTGGGCCATTTGGGATTTAGCACGAGGGACCTGTGGTCTCTTGTACGGCAATGCTTTGTCTTTCCTCACCCCAACTGAAAAAAAAGCAAACCTCACTCACCCCAAATCTGCATGATTTTTCCCTAGAATACTCCTTGGTTCCTCTTAGTGCTTTTTTGCAAGAAGGAGGGATGCCACCTGTCTACCAGACCCGATTAAAACAACTCTCTAATTTTGGCAGATTATATTTTGAAGGACTTCTAGTATTGAGGGTGCATTTCCCTTTTGCTGAAAACTGAATTGAACCCTTGGATTAGCAGCTGTTCTGCCTCAGGAGCATCACATTTCCCTCCAGCCAGCAGTGATCACTCCCCTGTGTGGACATCATGTCCTGGTCATGCTCAGACAGGGATAGGTAGGAGCTGTGACCCCAGCAGCCACACCAGGCAAGGAAAATGCTGAAGCTGCTCAGCATTTGAATGATTGTGTTTCCTGTGGCTATAAGCAGTGCTGGAGGGAGAATAGCAGCTGTAAAGGATTTAGAAAGGATTTTAAAACCTTGCACATTCCTCGTCCATAAATGCACCTACAGAAACAAAATTACCCTAAAAATGGGACTGAGACTCCCCTTCTGCAGATGGGGTTTCAGGTGAAAATTAACCCAGAGGAAGCCACCTTCTATGAGTAGAGATATTTTGAAAATGCCTTCCAGGAGAGAGAGAAGGAGCCCTAGTGAGTAAGCAAGCTCGGAGACCAAAAACCTGGCCCTGGCATGCTGGACTGAGATGAACTACAGGGGTCAGTGGATTAACAACCCAGGAGACAAGGCCACAAAATGCTGCAAAAATAATACCGCATAAGGCAGTGTCCCCAGGACACAAATTATGGAAGTCACTGGAGCAGAGCAGAAGGCTGTATAAAACACCACTAGCTCTGGGGCTCTGCTCCTCCAGACGTGGGAGGTGTTTGCTCCCTGTAGCTGATATAAGCCATGAGGACTGAGCTTGGATGGGCGATAGAACTTACAGGGGTAGTTTTCAAGCCTTGTCAACTTGTGCCTCACAAGAGGGGATTTTGAATAGATGCTCACAGTGTCTTTCAAGCAACACCTTTTGGTGAGAGTGGCCTGTTGGAGATTGGCTATAAATGGCACAAAACATAAGAGTGGGACTCAGATGCTAGACCTGCCAAAATGAGAGCCAATTCCAGTTCCCTCCCCATCAGTCAGGGAGGTAGGCACAGCATCTTGGGTACACTGGAATAGCCAGTGACTTAAAAACAGACTTAAATGAGCTGGAAACTTTGCTGCGGAAGACTTGTTATCATGGGTTCCTCAAGAACTAACATTTCCCTTTGCTCAACCCCCTGAAAGTAATAAGAATTATATTATCTGTACATAAAAATGATGTCATCTACAAAATAAGAATTAGACTATCTGTCAGGATTGCACTGTTGCCCAAGGCTTCCTGATCTGTGGTTCTACAGATGTGCCATGGCCATCATGCTGTTCCAGGAGGAGGGGATTCTCACCTGGTCTAGTTTGCCGGAGATTGGCAATATCTTTGGTGGGTTACTGGGCTCTCGGTATTGGGGAGGAGGCGGCATGTTCTTCTCGTTGTTGGTGGTCACATTCCCACAGATGTCCATCTTCACCTTCTCATTCTTGCGCAGGTCGCCATTGATGTAGAGAGAATTGGAGACCTTCTCTGTCTTGTATGTCTTCTCCTCGCCAGAGTAGCGGTTGGAGATCTCCCGCGTGGAGTACCCGTTGCGAGACCCCTCTGTCTGCCGTCCGCTGCTCTGCGTCCGGGTCCCCACGCTCTTCATGGCGAACTCTTGGTCATTGGCGACTCCGCTGCCCACGCTCCCCATGGTGCTCTGGGAGATGGGTTGGGATGGCCGGTGAGCAAAAGTGCGGAAGTTCTCCGGGCTGGGGTAGGTTGAGTCACTAAGAACAGGCAGTGTCTCTAGCGTGGCCATGGCAGCGCAGAAGTGAGGTGGAGGCACAGGTCAGTGACACTGGGAGAAGGAGGAAAAGGAAAGGACTGTTAAGGAGATGCCTTTTATCTACCATACCCTTTGCAGATCGGCATTGTGTAGAGAAGAGTAAATCTCTTGGCTGGGTGATGCAAGGACAGAGCTGTCATTTCTCAGTATATGGTATGGAGCAGATGATGGGGATGTCCTCTTCTCCGTGACCCCTAGACCCTCTTGGAGGAGCAGTGTGCACTGGTCCCCCTAATCCCACTCACGCTATGCAAAATAGCTGCTCTTAAGCCTCTCAGTCCAAGGGTTGGGTGCTCTCAGGGAGGGGGTTGCATGGGTTTTAGTGGGCCAGGAAGGCTGCTTTTTTTTTGTCCCAGAAACCCTTAGTTCTGGGTTTCCCAGGATAAACCATCCTGGCAGCATGGCAGAGTGGGGACTAAAGCAGAATTTAGAGGCAGTGGGAGGTGCAGGTTTTCCCCTGGATAAAAGGGGGATAATAAAAACAATGCTCTTTGGAGAGAGGTTCAGAGATGAGGGGGCTCAGGAAGGGTCAGCAGGTAGGGGAGATGGAGAAAATCCCCATTTCAGTGGGATTTTCCCTATTCTTGGAGTAGGGCTGTTAAATCAGCCCTTCCCAAGTAAAGCAGGAGAGCTGGGTTTATTTCCCTGGAGAGTTAGCTTAGGTCTAGAGCTCATCTCCGATGTGGTGTCTCATGGGGTCGTGCTATTTACACTAATAATGGAATGGAAAAGAAAAATTAAAAAAGGTTAAAGCGGGGTCTGTGCTGCTTGACTTCACTTTTATTAAATTGTGTTTCTGGAGGCTTCTGCCGGGTGCACTGCCTGTACCCTCCTCCCTTTTTCCAGTGTCCTGATCGTCTATGAAAAACTGCCCTGTTCGAAATATGGCCCAAGTATTGTGGGGCTGGTGGACAGACCTAGCAAAAGGCTATGCCAGAGGGAGAAGCATAGAGCTGATACCTACAGCGAGCTGGCAGAGCTGCTCTGGGGCAGAGCAGGGTAGGAGGTGGTCACAGAGGGAAAAAGTGGTTTAAGGAGGGGCCGTGGTGAAAGCCACTATCCCAGCTGAACTCCTCTTGAGGCATGAAGGAGTCTGTAGTCTGACACACACCAGATATACCCCATCACGGACAGGGGACAAAGTAGCTGTGAGACTGAGGAGAATCTGCCTGATGGTGTAACCTTCTCCATCCCCTTGGACATCACCCCACCCATGGAGGGTTCCCAGGGGACTTGCCCAACTGAACCACCAGCAATATGAAGTGATGGGTGAACATTTTGTGGTCACTGCTGATGACCTTGCTGTAGCTTGCACCTTTGTCCCTCAACAGAGATGTCTCCATGTCACACACTGGTTGAGGTCTAAAGGCTGAGCAGCAAACAAATATCGCACAAGCATCGCACGATGTGGTGTGGGGACCCCCCTACAATCAAAATGCATAACTGTTTACCAGTCATAAGTAACAAAACCTCCACCAGCAGAGAGGAGTGTCCAGGTCTGGTCATGCATCTGACCTGTGACATTTGGACAAGTCTCTCTCCAATGCACTAAGCAGGACTTACAGGCTCATGACCCCATTGCACCCTAAAGGCACTTTCCAAAGAACAACATGATAGACAGTTCACAAGTGCATGACGCCCAGGGATTAATCTAGGTGGGCACCTTGAGACTTGGTTGAGCTGTGGAGCGATGAGGAGGGATGGAGACTGCCCATCTGAAGCCACAGTCAGCCCACAGTGCCTTTGAGTTTTATTAGTCAAGGGAAGATATTTTGTTGTGCTAATTTAGGAATAGCCTGCCTTTCAGTGACTTTGGGATCTTTATAGGCTGTGTCTTTTTTTTATGGGACACCAGCCACCACAGGAGGGATGTGCTGGAAGCTCTCGGCTCCAGACAAGGGAAAGGCAGTGGCTGCATTGCCTCCACGCAGTCCTCCCTGGCCCCATTCAGCTGGCTGAGGAGAAATCCAGGTTACCTTTTTCCTCGCTGGGTAAATTCCACAGTGACATTTGCACATTTACATTGACTTTTCGAGGGCAGGATGAGGTCACTGGAAAGTTTGATATTTAAAAAAAAACCCCCCGAAAGTCAACACAACAATGAGCAGGGAAGGCAAGCGTCCTTAGCCCACTGAGAGCCATAGCCTGGATAGAGATGGGGCAGTGACCTGCTGGACACCTCTGAGAGCTGCTCAGTGCTGTGGCATCTCCACTGGGGACTCCTGGCTCCCAGGCAGTGGTTTTCACGTCAAGCAGGCTTCTGCTTAAACCCATGTCCCAAGTCCACTGGGATGTTGAGCTGGTCTTTCTGCTCAGCGCCAGCAACCCAAAAGCAGGGGAGGCTTCAGCTGCCTTATTGGGATGTGGCATCGAATCTACACCACAGGGCCAGACTCTGAAAATGGACCTTTTCCCATGGTTTGTGGGGTTTTTTTGGTGGGTTTTTTTTAAATTTTTTTTTTTTAATCTCCTAATGGGGTATCAGCCAAGAAAATATTCTGGAAAAAATGGTTATTAGCTTGTGTTTACTGTAAACCCGGGATCTGATAAACAGAGCATACGGACAAGCATTACACATATGTTATTAAGGAGATTCCAGAAGTGCCAACGGATCCCTGACAGTACAGTTTTGTTTGCCAAAAATGGCCACTTTTTTGAGAGCAGCAGCTCTTGCTTCCGTGTCTTGTGGCCAACTCCAGTTCCCAGTCAGGTTTTACCCGAGTCATTCCTGAGGTGAACTGTGAAATCAAGTTTCGAGCAGTGAGGTAAAGAATAATGCTGCCAGGCTCCAGCAAAGAGCCGGAGGGTCTTTTTTCTCCTTCCAGGTTTGGAGGAATGCATGATTAAAAACTTCCCCGGAACATTTCTTCTCCTTAAATCTCATAACCACCTCCCTCCCATGGGAATGTGAACCTTAACTGGGTTTACAGGTGATTCCCAATGAGAGGAACAAGCGTGCTGAGCCTGGCAGTCCGTGAACACAGGGGAACTGAGGAAAGGTAAACTGGCTCACCTTTACCAGCTTTTCACTCTCAAGTGTGTCCTTTAGAAGGAAAGACAAGTCACCTTTGAGCACAGCTGGGCTTGGAAGAGACCCCCAAACCAGAGCAGAGGGGTGAAAGCAGCTTTTCCTGCCCCATGGTGGTGTGGAGAGGCTCCAGACAGGTGGAATACCAAAGCAAGAGCTTTTAGCAACATGCCAGCCACTGCCCTTTCCAGGTGTTTTATCTTTCCAGAAGTCACATCCCACCTGCAGTGGTAAGGAAGCATGAGGACCACCTCGCTCTTCATCCACACCAGGCTCTCAAAAAGACACCAGGTCAATCCCACCTCCTGAGAAGGACCAGCTCTACAGAAATTGCTCCCAAGTGGTGTCCATCCATCACAGCAGTCACCACCTCCAAGCACCAACACTCAGCCTTTGCCGAGCTCCAGTTCCCCAGAGCCGCATGGTTACAGCAGGAACCCTAGTGAAGGGACTTTGTGCAGACACAAAGGGGGAGAAGGGAACCCTCCCATAACAAACACTGAGCTAATTTCCCATTTCCCAGCATTACTGTGTTAATAAAAGCTGAAAGGGGTTTCTTTGACTGCCTGAATCAATTCAAAGCACCCTTCCTGGTAGGCATCTCCATGCCAGCAACCTTGCCTAGGAGGGGTGTCGTGTCTTATCAGTACAGCCAGCCTCCTCCCTCTGGCTGGGCATACCAGGACTTCATGCAATGATGCAGCTCCCCACCATTTCCATGTTGCACGACCTTCCCATCCCATGCAACCACGATGGCCCCTTGGCCTTCTTCCCAGCAGCCCTGCCTTGGAGACAGCAATATTTTTATGTCCAATGCAGAAGATCTGGGGTGAGATTTCCTTTTCCCAAGCTATGGCGGGTAAACTTTTCACTTTTACCAAGTTTTCCTCTTACCAAGGTTTCCTACCATGCCTGCAGCTCCAGGGGACCCCTAGATACTATTGTAATTATAATAATCCATAAAACAACTCCTGCGTCTTCACACTTGCTTTACCCAAATGAGTTAGCAAATGCCTTCCAGTTAGACAGAAGAAAAACTGCTTTCAGATAAGGAGCTGAATGGTTAACTAAGCCAAGATTATGAAGGCCTGGCTCTGTTTCTGCCTGAGTAGGTTAATTGTTAACACTCTAGTAACAAAGGCCTTTGGGAGACATACCTAGGCACCGTGCCATGCGAGAAGGAAATCAATCACTGGTCTCGAGCAGAGCGAGCTCCAGCAAACAGCCCGAAAGCAAGGCAGTGCCTTGGCACACGCACCATCCCAGGCATGTGGTCCTGGCAGGACGGGCAGCAAAGGCATCTCAAGGTCAAAAATTCCACCCCCCACCAATTACGGTAACAGGTGTGCCCATGACCTTCAGCAGTCAGGTTTGTTTGCGTCTGTTTTAATGAGCAAGCAATTACTGACACAATGAAAACATAATCTTTTTTTCTAGGGGGCGGGAGGGGGAGGTTAGGACCTACACCTGCACAGTGTTTAGGGCTCTGGTGGCTTTCCAGTTTGTTGGCAACGGTGCCAGAGAGCTGGTATGGCTAGAGGAAAGAAATCATCACATCCTGGAGTGGTGGAGCAGGTTAGAAATGTTCTTTCAGCTTCTTCCAGAAATATACATGGAGAGGGAAGGGAAGACCAGTAATGGGTTAACAGAAAGAAGACAGCAGACCCTGTAGGGAGCAAAACCACCTGTGTCCAGTGAAGCATTAACAAGCCCTGGAGAAAAACCACCACTGAAATGCAAGACCTTCAATCAGACTGGGCCAATATATGCATGGAAGGTGTTTGAGTCTGGGTCTGAGCAATGTTGCTGAGACCTAGAGATTGTTGCTTGGGTTGGTGTGGACATCCTGTGTTCCCACAAGGCAGTCCTAGCAGTGATGGTGAGATGGGAGTCCACCTCCTGCTTCCTTCCCAGGTTTGGCAGAGTGGATGTGGGCACAGGGGAGGACCACTGTAGTGCTGGAGGGAATCAGATGGAACTGCCT